TTTTTTTTTTTTTTTTTTTTCCTTGAAATGCATTGGCTTCATCTACCTTTAGAAGTTCCTTCTGTTGAAAACTCTGGATGATTTTTTTGCCCCCTCTGAAGCCTGCCAGACACTTTGTGGTCGAATAAATTGTCAGGAAAATTGCTGTATCTAGAGATTTTACCATAGAAAAATTGTGGCCACTACCTTCTCTGAGTTCCTAACCATTTAGGATTTTATATAAAATTTATTAAAAATAAAAGCTGCACTATACTATTTTTAATTATGCTCATAATTTAGTTGTTTACATGTATAGTTTGTGCGTGTTTGCCTCTATGTGCACATATATGTGTAAGACAGACTCACTCCAACTCTGTAAAGCCAAAATAATTATATTCTAAAAGAAACAGCTGCAGCTGACTGAAATGGAGACCTTTACTAGTAACACTTAATATTAATCTAACACTGGAATTAATTGTCTGCAACATGCCAAGGAGAGAGTCACAGTGGGGTCTTTCCCAGAGACTGAGATATTTTTTCCACTCATCTGATCATTTACTTGTCCCTTCAGCAAACCCGTGCTGACTCCTTTGGCGGTTTTAATGCCAGACAATGAGAACTCGGTGCGAATCAAACACAGTACAGAAGAGAGACGCACAAGGAGCCAGGTAACTGTATGACACAATGTGACTGCTGCTGAAACAGACATCTAGGAAGCCCTGGGCCTCAGGAAGGAGACCTCGACTGCCGTGAAGAGCTGAGGAGGAGTCACACAGGTATGCGTGTTAGTCAGTTTCCCACTACTGTAACCACTACTTGAGACACCCAGCTTCGATGGCGAAAAGGTTTGGCTTGGCTGACTGCCTCGGTGATTCCAGCCTGGGATCAGTAGGTCTCGCTGCTCTGGAACTGCAGGAGACTGCGCCCCAGCGAAAGGGCTGGCCAGGACCTGAGAGGGAGGATGTGGAAGGGGTGGGCCCGGGGTCTCCTTCAAGGACGCCCCCATGACATCACCTCCGCCCACGAGGCCCCTCCTCTTAAAGGGTCCACTACCTCCCAACAGCATCACCTTGGGGATCAAAACCTTAGCACATGGACTTTGGGGACCCTTGAGGTCCAGACCATAGCAATTTGTCAAGACAGGAAACCTAGCTGGGTCTGAAGGAAGTAGAGACCTTACATAATGGAAGAACTGACAGGCCAGTCTCCTGAAGATCCTGGAGCAGCAAAGCAGGGCATTTTAGGGGCATCATTGTCTTCATGGATAGGAAAGGTTGTTTGCCTCGCAAATGACTGCAGACTGCTGAGGAAGGGCCTGCAGGCGACACCAGCCGTGTGATGTCCGGCACCTACCCTGCTTCTTTCTGGGACCTGTGACCTGAATTCCATTAGCAGAGTCATCTCAGTTTTCCCTTCCGTATCCTTCATTTTGCAGAACTTCACACACACCTGTGTGCGCACACACACAGCATTTCTGAGCTAGTGCATGGGATCCTGGACCAGCCACAAGTGTCCATTCCTTTAGCCACAGTAATTGATAATTGGTCAAAACAAGAGCATGTGACCCTCTCCAAACTACAGCAACTTGTTAGTTTAAATTTTTAACATGCTCACTTTTTCTGTTAGTCCTGAAATGCGAGAGCATGTTGGGGTTGAAGCTCCAGGCAACCTCTTGCTACCATGTGATGCTCAGTGCTGAAGCCAGTGTGACAGAAGGTAGAGTAAAGAGATGGAGAGAAACCAACTCCTAATTATATTTTCTAGGCCCTGAATCTAGTCTTGCCATTTTATGTGAGCCAATAAATCCCCTTTTTGGCCAAACAAGCTTTGTTTTTTTCCTTTCAATTCTGACCAAGAGTCCAATTGATGCTGCCCCAAAGAGGAGCGGGGAGGCAGAGAAAGGAGAACAAGCGAATATTTAATAAGCAGCTATTCCCCACCACCACCTTGTGAGACCAGGCATTTAAAAAATGCTTTAAATAAAGGGCACAGTAATCCAGGAAACTAAATGGAACAGTCTATCTTCAGCCCAAAGTCCATCCCAGCTCCAAATCCTGTTCATTTTCCATCACGCTGTGCTGTTAGTTTGGGGTTGGATCCAGGCTAGCATTTCCCGAACTGTGTTTCTGGGAGCGCTATGTTCATAAATCTTACATAAAGAAAAATTCGATTTTTTTATAAACTCTTGATTTGTGAGAAAAATACTACTCCTATTTATGTGATGAGCTTATTGTATGACTTATGAGGTTAAAGGGATCTGACAAGAGATCACCCATACCATGAAGTAAAGATGGTTGAAATTAGGTGATATTTTCAAACTACACAAGGTATTGATCTGTGGTTTTCATGTGAGAATTTTAGTTTGTCATTCCAACTTATTTGGGCCATGTTATTCCATATATTGCTTTCAGCAGGCATATTGTACATGGCTACATAGCCAATAAAGAGAAGTTTTGAATAAAAAATAGATTAATCGTTTTTATGTGCTGCTTTTACCATCTCCAGAACACAATACCTGACACCACGAGAGGAGGAGAAGCTTAACTTGGCTCGCAATTCACTCCTTGACAAGGCAGAGGCATCACGGGGGGAAGGGCGCGGCTGAGCGAAGGCTCAGCTCCAGGCTGCCAGAAGCAGAAGCTCAGCTGGAAGCAGTGCAGTGCAGCAGTGCGGACAGGAGGGAGGGAGGATCCAGGTGCAGCTCGGAAATTCACAGCTTCATGGCCGCCCAGAGTAAAACTCCCCAACCGACTCCCATGCTAATCAAGTCGACAGTTATGCTTTCCTCAAGGAAAACAGCAAAGAAGATTGTAATGATTCCCAGTGAGTATGATTACCAATGACTGTAAATTCCCAAATACAGGTAAAGGCTGAACTGCTCATGATTAAACAATCGAATTAACTACTGGGGAAACTGCTGTATATGAAACATTAAAATATTAAATTGACATCACTCTTTTCATTAAAATTTACTTTTATAAATTAGAATTTTGTAATATCCTGAAATTAAAGCCAAATATTGAAATATATTTGATGTGCTTAAAATGATGACCTGACTCAGAACATTGTACTTCTATAACAATTCATAAAAAGACAAAGAAATGCTGTTTTCATAACAAAGAATAATAATTTCATATTGCTATGAAAATAAATAATAATTATAGTTTATTTGTATATTTTAATTCTTTTTGCTCTTAATTTTTGAATTCATTTAATTTTATTAAAGGTACTTGTGTTCAGTTACAAAATTTTAAAGGCATGATTAAATTCCTTGGAGAAATCATTTCATCTGAGATCATTTTCATCGTCATTTATAGTGTAACAGAGACTTGTTCCTTCTGTCTATTCATTTTGCATGTGGAAGAAATCACGCATGATTTTCTCAGTCCCGAGGGTGTAAGGAAGCTGTAGGGAGGTGTCCTATTCTTCTGTCCCATTTCTAGACCTTCAACCGCCTGGACTTGTGCAAAGAAACTCGGGCATGACTTGCAATGTTGGTGACCTGGGAGCCAGCTTCACAGATTGTGGTGGAAGGAGCTGGACAGTGTTGCTTTCTGAAATCGTTGTGCAGTGGTTCAGTTGATTTCAAAAGCCAGAAGTTCACAAAGTACGGAAATGATTCTGATCTAGAGACTGAGCAGAGATAGTAAATAAAGTGAAAAATTCTTGTTTTCTTGAGACTTACATTCTAAAAGGACAGAGCTGAAAATAAACATGAAAATTGGGAATTACGGACTCAAGGAAGCATTCTAAGAGAAAAATTAGAGGGAGGTAGACAAATATATGGATGCTTTACATTTTAGACAGATTATTAGTCATTTTACACTATTATAATGAAGTACTTGATACGACTTACTTTATAAAGAGAAAAGGTTAGTGTCGTTCATTGTCCTAGAGCTGCAGTGACATGCCAGCTACATCAGCTCAGTTCTGCTGAAGCTCTCCCAGTTACAGTCAATCATGGTAGAAGCACTTGTGTGTGAAAGGCCTGGCAACACCAAAACAGGAAGGCAGAGAGCAACATCTGATACCTTCTTCCAAGGACACGACCACAGGACCTTAGCACCTCCTAATAGGCTCCACCTTCCAGAGATAGCAAGATTTTCTAAAACACTACCTTGAGGACCAGACCTTGACCCCAGTGGATGCTTGGACCACACCTAAACTAGACAAGCTGACCAGGGAGTCTTCTATGAGGCTATGACACTTAGATAGACCCTAGCAGAGTGAAAAAGCCAGCCAGACTACTGCAGTGGCCTTCCACGCACAGGACCAGTTTATGCAGACACCCTGGGCAGAATGCACTGTAAAGTGCAAGTAGACCCAAGTAAAGACACCCTAGGGGTGAGAAGCTGCTAAGGTGCAGTTGGAGATGGTCGAGCAGGACTTTGGATTTACTCCGCCGTAGGAAGCTGTGGGGTGCTGTAGCTGAAGGACGATGCATTGGGAAGGGTCATGGAGAATGGACTGAGGGAGCAGAGCTGCCGGGGAGGAGGAGGAAGTAGTGGAGCTGCTCAGTGAAGACCTTGCACAGTGCTCACTACACCGTCTTTGGCTCAGGTGTGGCCCCTGGAGACTGTTGGGCGCCCCTTCTCTCAGAGCTCTCTGCCTTTTTTCTTCCGTGCATCCACAACGTCTCTCTCATGCTGCAACTGGGAATCCTGGTCTGTGGCTAGAGGGGGGTTGAACCCTATCCGGGCTGTGCATCAGCAGCGTAATGCCCACAACGGGAGTAACAAAGAACTGGTGCCTGCCTGAGCTGTCTGCAGTGCTGTGAAAACAGCAGATCAGTGGGAAGACAGAGGAATCATCACTGGATATTTAAAGAACTCAAGAAGTCAGACCCCCATAATACAAGACCCAATTAAAAGCTGGGTGAGCAAAATGAATAGACACTTCTTGGAAGCACAGATGACCAGTAAATACATGAAGAAATGCTCCATGCTCCACTGGCCATTACAGAAATGAGAATTAAAGCCACACTGAGATTGCATCTTAGCCCTGAAAGAATGGCCATCATCAAGAAATCAAGTCATAACAGATGCCCATGCCAGAGAGGCTGAGAGGATCAGGAACTCTTCTGCACTGATGGGGCAATGTAAACCAATGCAAACACTGTGGAAATTGGAACAGAGATTCACCCTAAAACTAGAAATTTTTTTCCACCTACCTATTGTTCCCTTTCTAGATATTTTCTCCAAAAACCTAAAGATATCATCTTACAATGATACACACACACCCATGTTTATAGCAACATGATTTATAGTAGCTAATATTTGGAAGAGGCCTATATGTTTATCAAGAGATGAATGGATAAAGCAAATATGGCTTTTATGCACAATGAGGTACTGTTCTGCATAAAGAAAGAGAAGCTTTTGTCAAATATGAGGTAGCTGAGTATGTCAGGAGTTGTTTCTCCATCATCTAATCTGTTCCACTGATCCTCACGTCTGTTTCTTTCCAGTACCATACTGTTTCTATCACAGTAGCTTTGTAGTATAGTTTCAAATTGGGGCTTGATATCCCCTGCCATGTCTCTGTTGCTAGAATTTCTTTTGCTATTCTAGGTCTCTTCTGATTCCAAATGAATTTTTTGGATTGTTTTCTTCAGTTCTGTGAACTATATTGTTGGCATTTCAATGGGGATTGTGTTGAATCTGTACAGCAGCTTTGGAAGGATGGCCCTTTTCAATATGTTGATTCTTCCTACCCAGGAACAAGGGATGTCTTTCCATTTTCTTGTATCTTCTTCAATCTCTTTTCTCAGAGTGTTGTAGTCCTCAATGTAGAGGTCTTTTGTTTCCTTTGTTAGATTGATTCCTAGATATTTCATTTTTTTGGATGCTATGGTGAAAGGGATTGTTGTCCAAATTTCACTCTCAGGGAGTCTGTTGTTTGTTTACAGGAAGGCTATTGATTTTTGAGTGTTTACCTTGATCCAGCTACTTCATTAAATCTGTCAATTAAATCTAGAAGTCTTTCGGGGAAGTTCTTCTATGTAGAGTATCATATCATCAGCAAATAATGACAGTTTCACTTCTTTCCTATCTTTATTGCTTTTATTTCTTTCTTTTGTCTAATTGCTGTGGCTAATGCTTCCAAAACAATATTGAATAGGAGTGGTGATAGTGGAAATCCTTGTCTTGTTTCTGATTTTAGTGTGAAGGTTTTCAGTTTTTGACCATTTAGAAAGAAAGAAAGACAAAGAAGCTTGAGTCATTTGTAGGAAACGGCATGCACCTTGAGACCATAATGTTAAGAAACACAATCAGCCACAAGAGCTTAAATATTACATTCTCTTACAGGAGAAATCCAGCTTATAAATAAAAAGCAAAATAAAAGAGAGATAAAGAAAGTAGAGGGGGTAGATCTTTATCAACTAGGAAGGGGATCAAGACATGAAGGGAAGGGGAAGGGATACAAAAGAACTGCAGTGTGATATGTACGTGTAATGACTCCCCGGGAGGAATGTGATCAGTATGCTCTGCAAATGCATACTATTAAACACTGCTTTCAAAAGACAAAGACCTCACCACTCAATTCTCCAGAGGTCCAAGAGTCACCTGGAAAAATAGATTCTGAGGAAGAAGAGCAGGGAAAAGATGCCGAATGAAAGGGAGCTTTTCACCAAGGGAAAGAGGGTCCCTGGGTGGCCACAACAGGACGCAGTGTGAGCGATGCTCCCTGCTCTGTGGAAATGCACCCCACCCGCGCGAGGTCGGCAGGCAGGGCATAAACGCGTAAGCCCACCAGTGGCTTGTAGGCAGATGGACCCTGTCCCTGCCCCATTCTATCTCCTGCTCAGCGATCTTTTCCTGGCCCGGCTTGTATATTTTTCAAGTCCAGGATCTCAGTCAAGTCTGTGATACCTCAGTTCTGCACTCCTCACCTGGAGAATCCAGTTGACCTACTTGGGATCAAATGACCAACTCTGACTCAGGGATTTTGGGATATTGAGATCGTGACCAGCACAGCTATCTGAGAGAGGAAGGCAAGACACCTATTCTATTTAAGAAGTTTTGCCTGAATGGGAAGTTGAGATTCTTTAGTTCACTGCCTAAACATCTTAACCATCTCTACACTAAAGAGATTTTGGAGACTACTTCAATTTGGAATATATATAGTCTAGAGTACACAGATAGGTTTTTTGTTTTTGTTTTTATTTTGTTTTACATTGGGTTATGGCAGAAATCATTTTTCCTCTATTGTGACATGATGATAGTTTCCATTTATAAATCAAATCACCAGCTTGGATGAAGACATTCAGTAACATGATCAGTGATTCATTTTATCAATCACATAAACTACAGCTCATTGAAGTTTGCTTTCAAGTTTATAATAATGAAGTATATTATATATTGTTTTCCTAGAAGTCAGCTTTCCTTTATACTGTGTTGCCATTTTGGAGTTTCATTTTTTACTGAACCCCAAAACACCAGGCATAAAGGAGAGAAGCAAAGTCAGGGCATTTTCTGGTCTTTGCTAATATTCTTTCAGTATTTTAAGGTACTTACATCTTGGCTCTACTTCTCACAGATCTCTTTTGGTGGTTCTTAATTATAGACATCATAACACAGGAGTAGAAATCACTAGAGAATTTGGAAGGCTACAGAAGAAGTGTTTTTAAGAAGATTGAAGCAGTCATCAGCAGGAGAGTTGATTAGGAAGCCCAAATTCTTGCTTCCCAAGGAGCCCGCAACTCAACAATACAGGGACCAATTCCCTCGGTGAGAAATCCAGATGCCAATTCACAGGTTCCTCGACCCCAACCGAGCACAAAACCAGCTGCCTCAAAGCT